AATGTGCACTAAGCAGCTCAGGCCCCGGCAAGTCCATCCACATCAGAGAAACAGTATGTCCCTCTGCCTCAGGCACGTTACTTGCTCATCCTGGCAAATGGAGATGTACTACCTGCGTCGCTCCAGAGTCACCGTGGGGTTGGAGGCCTGCCACCTGTGGACTCCAGGTGCCTTTCTGCAAGGCCCCCCTCCCCATCCTTCAATATTCCTCATTCATTTCTTCCGCCAGAAGCTCATTCTCCATTTAGCGTTTCTGTGCCGGAGAGTGGAAAAATGACAGGAGGGAAACCCTGGAATCAAAATGATGCGTGGGGATACATGCGGGTTTGACACAACAGCCTAGAGACCTTAGGGATATTGTATAATTAATATTTCTTATGGAATGTACAGTCTCTCCTGAATGCATTAAGTAATCAGTGGACACTTGGGCCCATTGCCTAGGGAACTTTCTGATCTCTTCCACACGAATCCTATTGGCTCAGTCTTGTTTTGTTGTTTTAAGTGATATTGAAACATTGCTTCCGACTTTGAGTAACATAACGCTTAACAGTGACAACAGTGAAACAGGATCAGAACAAGAACTCTTGATACCAGCGTTACCATACAGTATTATAGAGGGATTATTGCCAATCCAATAATATCCAAGCAGCCCGGGAGCCCTAAGAACTCTTTACCTTCATAGCGTCTTGATTGACTATAAAAGATTTATAAATAAGGCAACTGCTTGTCACAGTTTCACTAGCAATGTCCCGGTTTACAGTTGTTGTCCCAGTGTAATTATCAATAGCGTCCTAGTTTGAATGATAAATTATATTTAATCACCCTGTTTATAAAAGTCTCCCTCCCCGTGGGCATCATTAGCCCAGTAAATCTCTATAGATGTTTAAATCCCTAACTAGTTTAACCCACATTCCCTAATGTTTGGGCAGATGTTTTCTGACTTGTTTGGTTGGTTGTTTTCCACTCATGCCTTTTGAAATAATACTTTGGGTTTCCCATTCCCTCTCGAGGACGGCCTCATCTGGGATGCTGACTCTGGTTACCTTTTCTGCTATGAACGTATTAGCAGGAAGGCACTATGTTCTTTTAGTCTCTAGTCTGTGATTACAATCCCCGATGGCCCATACCCAGAATTACAAGCTTGGCACGTTGTGGAAATTTGTAATGGCCAGGGGAAAACTCATGATGTAATGCTGGGTAAAAGACGAAGGATATAAAACTGTTTCCATATGAGGTACTAATAGTGATTTTTAAAATAGCTATGACTGGACACATAGCAATTTGAACTGGTAACAGTTCTTATCACTTCATGAGATTATGAATCAAATATTTAGTTTTCTAGTCATACACAGTATTTTTATTCCATAATTCATACGAAGTGAAATCATATTTTACCATCAGAAAAATAATGTAAAAATAACGCAGTGATGCCCCGGCCAGTGTGGTTCAGTTGGCTGAGTGTCGTCCCCATAGGGGCGTGCAGGAGGCAGCCTGTTGCTTGATCTCTCTCATGGATGATTTTTCTCCCTCTCCCTTCCTTTCTCTCTCTCTAAAGGTCAATAAAAACATATTTTTAAAAAATATAAAGCAGTGATGTTAGTTGTCCCTTTTGTCTTAAGGAGTTTGATATCCAGAAAGTTCTAGAGGTGCCCCATCAATCCTTTAGTAGATGGATTTTAGATTAGTGACAAATCCCTCCTTATTTACATATGAAAAGAGAAAGAAAGATTTTCCAGGCTTCTCTATAGCAACTTCAGGGTTTCTTCCAGAGAAGGAGAGTCCAGGTCTCCTGTGTTATTCAGAAAACCTCTCAATAGAGGCCTTCGGGAGCTCCTAAACTAGTCAGTGAGCCCAAGGCTTTGACTGGGGGCTTGGACATCACTGGAATAGAAGTCCGGTGCTAGGCCCACCTGATATTTCCTCTTCATATTCCAAACACGCCTATATTATCTAATCCAGACATAAAACAACCAGTTAAGCATTGTGGGTGACCTCTGAGGAACTTGACCTGACAGCGTATCCTTGTGAGAATTCTCATTTCTTCAGAGGCAGCCAACATGATGCTGTAAAAAACCCCATGATTTTCCAAGTCAGGTTGACCTGGCCTTAAATCTTTAATCCACCACTTACTAATCTTATATTTTTGGACAACCTTTTAAAAAAACACCAAAAAACAACAACCCTTGTTTTGTTTCCTTAGACTCTGTTTTCTTAGAATAATCACAGCTTCTCGTTGATGTTGGGAACATTTTTGAAGTTTCTTTTGTGGTACCAGGCATGTAACAGGTATTTGTAACTGTTCGGAAAATGGTCTGCTCTAGGCAGCTAGACACAAGGATTGGCAAGTGTCTTAATTTTCAATTAATTTTCCAGGAATGCAGGGCCGTGTCCGGTCCAGAGGGTGTCAGTCTTACTTCCAAATGCCAGGTGGAGAGAGGGGACTGGCAGGTGAATCAGTCCATTGGTGCTGTTGCTCTGGCTTTCGCTGTGTGTGGTGGCTGTGGCCAGGCTGGTCCTGCCGAGCCGGACGGGCGCCTGTCTGCAGCTGAGGAAATGCTCTTGAAGGCCTGGGTTCCTGTCAGCGCTGCAGTGGTTCCTGGCTGGGTGACCACACTCGGCGCTTGGTCGCTGTTCTTCAGTCACCTCGATACTATACTGGAGGGGCCCGTGCGGTCGGGCTTCCTACTTCGGCCACCTCTCTTGCCCCTCTCCCTCAAAGGGGCTTGTCTTGAGGCTGCACCACTTACTCAAGAAAAGCTAACCTTTTATTTCTCAATGATTTCTCCTCTGGTGTACTGATGGTCCCTTTCTTCCAGCATCTCTTGCCCAGTGGCACCCTGGTCCATCCCAGATTTCCCTGGCTTGCACTTTGGGGGAATAGAGGCTGCAGTCTCCATCCTTCCCTCCTTAAAGATGCTGGGCTTCTGCAGTTGCTACACTCTCTACCTAGAGCTGTCGGGGAGGAGGGGCAGCCTTTCCCAGGTGAAAATATAAAAGCTTCCTTCATATTTGCATGATCAGGAGCAGTCACAAAAGTGAACTTTTACAGAATACAGACCAGCTCCTAGCAGACTTCTTTCCAGGTCCCTTCCTCTTCTTTTGTTAAAAAATATATATTTTTATTGATTTTTTAGAGAGAGAGGAAGGGTGAGGGGGAGAGAGAGAGACAAATATCGATGTGAGAGTGAAACTTCGATCAGCTGCCTCCTGCATGCCCCCTGCTGGGGATTGAGCCCACAACCCAGGTATGTGCATGTGCCCTGACCGAGAATTGAGCCAGCAACCTTTTGGTGCCCAGGACAATGCCCATCCAACTCAGCCACACCGGCTAGGGCATCTAAGTCTCTTCCTAAACCTAGATGTCACTCCAGAACAGAAACATAGCAAAGCAAACCAAAGCAAACGAAGTCTCTGTGCCTCATCAGTCACCCCTATTAGAGTTCTTATATTTTGTAAATTCTAAGACAACACTGACAGAGGATGCAGCGCTATTTTATGTTCCACTAAGGAAAATACAAAAGCAAGCAAGCAAAAATCCTTTACCAATTAAGCTACGAAGCATTAGGGACTGTAACACCCATACCAATTTTAGAGATGTTAAAATATGAAAACCAAAGCAAACCAAAACCAGGAAAACCCAAACCTGAGTCTTAGAGCTGATGAAAAAACGATAGATGACTTTACCATGAGTCGGAAGTCAAGAACCTCCGCTCTCAGTTAGTGGTCAGGAGACTAACCAGGCCAGATGGCTGGCATCCTGCAGATTTAGAGGGAGCTTAAAAGGTTGGGGGCAAGGAGGCAAGAGGCAAGAATAATCAGGCGGCTTTCCTTGGTCTGCATTTAATGCGAGCATGTTACATTCATGAGTGAGAAGCCCCCTGCTTGAAGTCTTTGTTTCGAGCTTGGAATATATATATATTTCTCCCTTCTTTCCATCTGGACTTTGTTGAAAACATCAGGTCAAGCCAGCTTGAAAAAAACACACAAAAAAACTACAGTGGAGCTACCTTCTACAGTATGACATCATGTCTCCTCTGTTTCTCATTACAGAGCTGAGTTTCAGATGTTAAAGTCATATCCTCCTGAACCCTCGGCCTTCTTCTTCCCCTCCCCCTCGACAGTCCCACCTTGGTGAAGTTCCATTGTTTTTACAGTTGAACCACAGTGCTAGACACACAAAATTATTAACATGGCAGAGGGAAAATATGTCTTATGACTAAGAATTAAGCTTTTATTATTTTTAACTTTCCAGTTTTGCCCTACATACAAAAGGTGATATTTTATAAAATGACAAACTATGGATCTGCTAAAAAGCAGGATATAATTACTTAGGGATATATGTGAATTATAACATACTTGATAACATAATTTATACCATTTTATTTTAAAAATTTATAAAATGAGTAATGACATAATTAAAATGATTTTAGAAATAGAAACATGTCACAATAATGGAATGATGCTTGTCTTTCCACTGGAAGGTATAGAGGGGCTGTATTAAAATTTGGATATAATGTAGTTTCCAACATCGTAATCTAAAAACATCTAAATTATATTACTGAAATTTAGTTAATTTTTTTATTTAGCAACAAGAATCTATAGTGAAACTATAACTTGAAATATACTCCAGTTCTTTATTAGTATTATTTGAGTAATTGTAGCTCCTAATATTTTTACTAAAGAGGCACATTTGTGCAAGATACTTATTAATGTCAGTGGAAAATAGCCAACAGCCATTTCTAAGATAAGTTACATTTTACAGAATTATATCAATGGGATATGTGAAGCATTGTCTACTACCAGTCTGTAATCTCTAAGCATCTACTCAGAGAGCAGTTGTAGAAAACTGGAAAGGGAGTAAAAGGGAACTAGGAGAAGTAGGGATCCTGGGGGGAATGTAGCTGGCAGATAAAGTGCTTTAGCTAAGAACAGACAGGAAGAATCAGGAGAGCTGGTTTATAAATAACCATGAAACTTCATACCCTACAAAGAAAACATTCTTTTTCAATATATATGGATATTTAAGAATTATATAGTTATGTATTAAGGTATACAAATTATCAATACATTTAAAAACTAGAAATAATTCAACTCCCATTGTTTGATCCACTGAAAACACACTAGAAACTAAAAATAAACAAATCAACTCACTAGAAATATGTTTAAAACTCTGTGGCAGATACTTGTCCTTGTTTATTTGTTTTTCCATTTTACGTGGTAATAGAATTTTTAATTGGGCATATGGCCAGGCAGGGAAAGACTACATTTCCCACAATCCCTTTTTTCTAGATGGGGCCTGCGACTAAATTCTAATGTGGGTGGCAGTGATAGGTACAACTCATACTTTACGAATCATTTCCATTCTTCTTGCGCTTTTGTGGGAACTGCTGGAATGATCTGAAATCATGATGTAGAAACTACCTACTGTGGAAACTGGTCTTATAGAAAGATAGAAAAAGACGAAGCTGCCCTTAGCCCTAGGCTGCCTGCAGGGACATTCACCTTATCTCAGCCACTGTCAATTAGGGCCTCTCACAGCAGCCAAACCCGGTTTCTGACTAATATGCCTCTTTTCATAGGTTACATAGGAAAAAATTTGAAGCTGAGAGTATTGAAAATGATCATGAGAACACTGGATATTAGATCTTACATAACGGGAGCTAAAAATATATCTAGAATGCATTCTTTCAGTGCAGTTCTATTAAGTCAGAACAAATGTAAAGAAGCTAACACTCATCAAAAAGTTGGATAACAACCAAATTAATCTAAGGGAAGCAAGAGAAAATAATTAAAGATCAAAGTAGAAATTAATCAAGACAGATACAACAGAGAAACTGCCAATCAAGTTCACCATGTATAAAACACAGCGTTATGAATTAAAATGGGATCTAATTCTAAAAGTTATAAAATTTGACAAGGGAATATATTTAATACTAACAAGTATGAAAACTGGCAGTTTTGTAGGAAAACATATGTTGCTCAAATTGAGTCAGGATTGAAAAAATGGAATAGGCCAATAACCTTTGAATTAACTGAAAATGTTGCAAAAAGAAACATCTCTAAGATGGATAAAGACCTAGATCATTTTTTATGTGTGGGTTTTTTTCAAGTCTTCTGATAACTGGTAATTGCCATGATACATGAAATATTTTAGAGGACATAAAAAGAAGGAAACTCACCTAATTCATTGTACACTGCTAGTTAAACACTGATACCAAAATCTGACAAAACATATAGACACAATTAAAACTCTACATTTATGATCATTGAGGCAAAACTTCCTAAAATGCTGTCTACAGGAAAAAACAACAACCCTTCTATAGTTACAATTAGAGAAGCAATAAAAGGAAAAAAAGCTACCTAAAATGCTTATGAAAGACAAAAATAAAATTAGGAGTAGAGCTGCTATAAACATTCTTGATCAAATCTTTTTGTGGCTCTATGCATTCATTTCTCTTTGGCATATACCTGGGAATAGGGTTGCTGGTTCATGGGGTTGGTGTATGTTTAACTTGACTGGAAACTGACAAACATCTTTCCAAAGTGATTTTCACTGTATTTCACTCCCGTCAGCGTTTTGTGTGAAGCCCAGTTGGCTCCAAAGTCTCGTCAGCATTTGATATTGTCCGTCTTCTAGCGTTAGCCATTCTGGTGGTGTAAATGGTGTCTGACTGTCGTTTTCATGTTCATTTTCTTCATTGTCTTAGTCTTTGGGGCTGCTGTAACAAAAATACCATAGGCTGTATGACGTAAAAGCATTTCTTTCTTTTCTTTGTAATTTTTTACTGTATGATTTTATTTACATGACATGTTTAGATGAGGCAAATCCATACAGACAAAAAGCAGATTAGTGGTTGCCACAGGCTGGGGAAAATGGGGAGTGGGCAGTGACTACTGACAGGTACAAGGTTTCTTTTTGGGATGATGGAAATGTTTTGGAATTAGATAGTAGTGATGGTTTCATCACCTCATGCATATACTAAACTACACAGAATTATACACTTTTTAAAATGGTGAGTGCTATGGTGAGTATTTTCTAATGAACAAAAAGGAAAAAAAAAAAAGAACCAAAAAAGAACAGAGAAAAAAACCAGGCCTCTTGTTTCCTCTAATTTTTCTTTGCTACCCTGTTCTTCAGAGTCATTCTGAACACCATGGAGTCTTTCCCGTGTAACTCTTTATTGATCAGGGCCTGGGTGGGGATTTCAGAGTCCCAGTGTGCCAGGGGTCAGTTCAGAGGCCCTAACCCCCTGCTGAGACTCTCATCCCCACATTTCCATTGACTGGGGACATCAGGAACCACAACAAAGTACACTGATGTGGCTAATACATCATGGAGAAATTTTTGCACCAGGCAGCTATCAAACATGGTCAGGGGCTCTGTATTGGAGGGTGTGAGGATCAGGGGTGGATGAAAAATATTTAGTGAATGTGTACCTGCCTAAGAGGCAGGAGGCTGGCTTTCAGTTCTGCCTCTGATGCTCTTTCCTAAGTGATTTTTGGCAAACCTTTCACTCCTTTAGATTCAGTTCCCCATCCTCACTCCAACCATTCCTTGAAGGACTAAGGACCTAGTCTCTCCAAGTCCCAGCTCTGCCAATGATTTCCTGTCTGACCTTAGATCAGCAGGTATTTTCAGGCTCTCAACTGATGATTTATACATTGAGAATACCTATCTCCTGACCTCCTCCAGGCCGGGTTTTATTTTTGTGTCCTGACTCCTCTGTCTGCAGACCTGGTTTTCAATCTATTGTGAAGCGTTCTTTGTTCATATTATCTCAGCTTCCTTGGATTCCTCAAGCTGAGTCTAGAGCAATGGTCCTTAAATTAGCCTGCATGTGTGTGAAAATGATTAATTACAGATATTATCTCATATCTCTTTTATTCTCTGCTTTTAGAAACATTCTTTTTTTCTGTGTCTTAATTTGTTTCTATTGACCTGTCTTCAAGTTCATTGATTATTTCTTCTACTACATCTAGTCTGATATTAAGCCTATCCAATGAATGCCCTTTTTGTTGCTCTTAGGGCTTTAATTTCGATGTTGAAATTATCCATGTTTTCATCCATTAGGTCTATTTTTGCTCCAATTTAGAAAATATTTTTTGTATTGATTTTATAGTTATTTTCAGCTGGTCTCACATTTGGGTCACCTGTAGTTCTCTTTTGATTGATTATACAAGCCACATTCCCATGTTCTTTTTATGGACTCTAACTTTTTGTTGTGTTTAAAGACCATAGAGACTGAAGTAAATATTATTTCCTCCCAGAAAGGGCATATCTTTTCTTCCTATAAGGCAGCTTGAAGGGGATTGGGGAAGCTTTGGCTTTAATTCTTTCAGGAATTTAACAGGATTCAGGCCAGTTTGCACTTTTAGTTAGTTTCAGGTTGCATTTGTTTTCCAATTTCTTGGGCATGAATCTTATCTGTGTACGGTATAGAACAACCTCTTCTTTCTAGTGGACTTTGGGATCTATATTTCCTCTCAGCCTTGCTCCCAGATTCTCAGATGCTTCTGCCAGGCACTGAGCAGAAATCCAGTGGGAAGAATTGCTGGAAGGAGGACTAGCTCTGTATCTGGGGTTCTTGAGATTCTATTCCATTACATCAGTTCACATGGCATATTCATGTTGCCAGTCAAAAGTTTAACTGGTTTCTCCTTACCCTAGCAGATTCTTTCTGCATAAACTCAGCAAGAACTCCCAGGAGAAAAGCGGTCCAGGGTAGAGACCCAGGACCTCACCCAGGAAGGGCCTGTCTCTCTCTGGAAGGCTTTAGATTCTTTCCGTTCATAGTTCTCCAGTGTGTTAAAACATAGGAACTGAAATTTATCCACATTTTTCTAATTGTTCTGGTGAGAACAATGGTTTCTCACAACCTTCTACATCTTAACCTGAAGTAAAACTCAGCAATAAAATTGTGAAAAACAAAGAATTATGAGGTGACATTCGCATCATAGAATTTTAGAACATACTATAATTTAACATTGTGGTGTTGGCACAAGAGTAAACCAATGTAGTTTAGTAAAACAGAATAGAATGTCAAGAAACAAAAAAGGTTTTAGCTTGTGATAAAGAAAAAAATGCTTTTCCCCCAAATTTTATAGGGTAGTATCTTTTTCAACATAAAGAAAAAAAGTACCTATTTGGGAAAAAAAATAAAAGTAAAGTTACAGCCTTTCCTCACCCATTACTCCAAACATCATTACATAAGAGTTAATTTGAAAAATTAAACTACAAAGGAAAAATTCTAAAAAATACAGATGAATAGATTCTGCTTACAAGGTAAACATAAAATTAAAGAAAAATAATAAAGGGGAATAAAAAACAATAATTTTTGACCTCAAAATTATTATAAATAAATTTAAATTTCTATTCTAAAACAGGTAAAATATATTTGTTCAATAAATGACACACAATGTTATCATCCTTAAAATATAAAGAGCTTTCACAAATCAACAAGAAAAAAGACAAATAGAAAAATGTCTTAACAGGTAACTCATTAAAAAAACTGTACAAATGGTTTATAAATATATAAAAATACTTACATTATTCATAGTTGAAGGTCTCTCATACAATTTTTTCTCCCTCTGTTGGGGATGGGATATAACCTTAATAGGCTTTTAAATGATAATTTAAAAATGAATAAAAAATTAGTAAGGGAGTGAATTGCTTAAAACAGAGTTAACATGAAGTATTTAGAAACCTGCTTTGCTTCTACTCAGTCTACTTGACTAGTTAATTTTTCCTGTGCCCCTTTAGTGGTACTAATTTGAATATGTGTCTTTGTGTAAATTGATTTCCCCAGAACTCACCAGACTAGAGGTATAGATAGGGTCACTATTGTAATAAATTCTGCTGCCACTGCCCAAGGCTGATAAGGGATGTCAAGTCCTTTTAAGTCTCACTTGGTTATTTGTCTTTGGCTCACATTCTTCCACCACTTGCACCGTTTTGAATGTCTGACATTCATGAATCTTCAAGAGGACCATGACTCGACATCATCACTGCTGCTGGTGTCCACTATGACAACACTGATGACATTGCCAAAAGATGGTTTCCCGAATCCTCAGGCCCTTGGGGTGCCTAAGTGGCATTGCAATGTTTTCAGTCTTCACCAAACCAAAGCTATGCTGTAAGTAGGCAGAAGGGAGGACCTTGCACCCTTCTTGACTCTCATATTTTGTCACCTGGGTAACACTGTGCTCTTTTTTATTCCTCAGGGAAACGGCTCCTTTACCTTTTTCCTACAATTCTTCTGTCTATTCCAAGGTGCCAGGCCCGGATGAAGACCAAGTTATACCCATTTATTCCATCCCAGTTACACAGTGGTCTCCCAAGCAAAGTTCATCGGGGCTTTCTCCTCACACAAATGAATGCAGACAGCTGGGCACCTAAGCTACCTCGCCCACTCCGTATCTGTCACATCCAGATAGGAGTGACTCTCTTTCAGACTCATCCACAATACACAAGAACACATTCCTAGGCCGAGTTGCAAACCAATGATGCTACATTCCCATATTTCTTTCTGAGCTATTCCTTTATATATGTCAAGAAGGAATAAGTGATGTTCCACTCTTTTATCGATTTTTGAATTTTTTTCATACAAAATGGAAACTTCAAACTGACTGTACTGCTAACACTTGTTTGACGTCAGCTAACCCGTGTTGCTCAACAGCCCTCATTTTCTTTCTCCATGTGATAAGCCAACATCTCTACCCACATTCCAGGGACACGGTGAAGCACCAGTTACTGACTACAGCGAAACAAATGGCAGAGCAGCCCAGGGCAGGCAAAGGAAAGTCTGAAAACGAACTCAATGAATCAGCTACAGAGGCAAACGCCTCCGTAAGAAGGAGGACTGACCTGCTGAGCTTTTGTCCCTCAGGGAATATTAGTTTTACCTTGCCTGCTAAAGTGATGGCAACCAGGCTGGGAACTTGGGATAGATTATTTATTCAATGTGACAGCCCCTCCTCCTCTTTCTGTCTCTCCAACCCTTTACTCATGACCTTTCCAGATTCTTCCAGTTTTTTTAAACGAACCTCATCAAAGAATGAGAATTAGGTGAATAGGCATTGATTACCTGAGTTACCTTTCTTCCCCTTGTCTCAGAGCAAAGTTTAAACATTTCCCATATGATCTTTTTAAACACAGAGATATATTAGTTTCAGGTGTGCAATATAACAATTCGATATTTGTGTATATTGCGAAACGATCACCACAATGAGTCCAGTTAACATCCACCACCACCTGTAGTTACACATTTTATTTTATTTTTTGTGATGAGCACCTTTAAGATTTACTCTCTTACCGGATGATCTTTAACTATGGAAATGAACGGCAGCCACAGCAGCCCCTTAAAAATGTTAAATTTTCTCACCGATGCTCAGGAAAAGCACGCGCAAGCTCTGTAGTTCCAACCGCCTGTGTGGCAGAAAGAAAAATGAATTCTTGCAAAAGGCCTGTTGATTACAGCTTTCTCTTGTTAAAAGAGAGACTGCTCAATGGGAAATAGGAGATCACAAATCTTCCGCTGCGGGAACCGAAAGATAGAGTTATAATACCCTAACAAAAACAAAACCTCCTCCCTCAGCGAGCTACTCAAACACTGCCCTGCTTGAATAATGTGCTCAGTTAAGCAGGGAGGCCTGCGACGCAGTAATTACTCCAAGGAGGCTGCAGGGAAAGGAAAGTACATTCCAGACACCTAATCATTTACAATTGAGTTTAATGAGGTAATAATTTACAGCTTTGGGGGTGGAAGTATGGAAAGGTCCCTGCCAGGAACTGGGCAGACTCTTTAAAATCCCGGAGTTTAATGAAGGCATTGGAGGGTGGACGCATGCAGCCGAACTTGTGTAATTTCATCTGCGCGGTGCTTGGACAGGAAGCAAATGACAGGGCACTTGGGACCTACATCTGGAAACAACATGTTTCAAACGATTTTATAAATCCAGCAGTAAAAGAAGAAGAAAGAAGAAAAAAGCAGAGGTGAAAGGGCATAATTATGGGAGGGGTGGGGAAGCAGAAGAGGGGAGGGCCGTCGCAGGTTCTTTTTAGTTTGAAGAAATAACATTTTATAATGTCAAGGTCCGTCATTGATAATAATCGACAACACACGCTTGTCAAGCCCAACATGAAAAACAGGGGACTGAAGTTTCCTTTCAGGACAGGATTTGGGGGGAAGACAACGGAGCCGTTCAGGATCCACTGAAGTTACCTTTTCCGTCTTCTAGGAGTGTTGCCTGGTTCATTGGCATCATTTCCAGGTTCATAATATACCGAGTTCATTTTACTTTCTCTTCACTGGTGCTTTTTAAATAGAGCCAGCACATGAAGGGGCTTGGGCTTAGAGCGATGGAAAAGATTCAAGGCACGGTCATGGAGCGTGGTGGCAAGGAGTAGCTGCTGGGCTGGCCTTCATGTGGTACCAGGGATGGGCTTGCCCATAAATCAGGATTTGTGTTCTTCTCACTTAGGCTGAACGTCCTTCATATCTCATTTTGTGTTACCCATGTCAACTCTCCCAAGGGTAAAGTTTGTGCTCCCCCATTTCCCAGTCCTCAACATTCTCTGTTTGTAACCGAGTTTCTTTGTGTTTTCTCTCTCTAGTTGTGTCTGGAAGCTGGTAAGAAAGTTGAAGGAACGATGAGAGTAGGTTAAATGGAGTAGAGAGGAGCAGTTACATTTCTTGACTTTGAGGAACATGGATCCTGATTATAACTCATCCCATCATCAGGCTATTACTAAACATGTAAGAAGGAAATATTACAATCCCATCATCAGGCAAGTGATGCTGTGAAGGGAAATCGGACTCACAGCAGACTACACAGTCACAGTCACAACCCCTGATCACAGTGCTTGAGCATTTACTCTGGGCTAAGTGGTTTACATGTACTATTTCTTTAATTTTTTCAGTAACCCTGAAAGTATGAAAAAGGTCATACTTTTATCCCATTTTGCAGATGAAAATACTGAGGCTTATAGAAGTTAATAGCTCAAGGTCGCTAGGACAATAGATAGAAAGGCAAATTCAGACTTAAGCTCTGTCTGGTTTGAGAGCCTACAGTCTTAAATCCTATGTTATATTGCCTTAAATTTTATGTGTTTGGGTATCAGATTGTACGGACTTTAAAAAGATTTGGCTCACCCGGCTGGCATGGTTGAGCACTAACCTGTGATCCAGGAGATCCAGGTTCAATTCCCAGTCAGGGCACATGCCCAGGTTGTGGGCTTGATCCCCAGTCGGGGGTGTGCAGGAGGCAGCTGATCAGTGACTCTCATCATTGATGTTTCTATTTCTCTCCCTCTCCCTTCCTCTCTCTGAAATCAATAAAGACTTTTTAAAAAAAAAAAAAAAAAGATTTGGCTAGAAAAATAGAGTGATGGTCCTACATCTAGAAAACCATTCTATTCCCCAAAAGCAAAAAATTACATCGTTAGGGTATCTTATCTGACATTTGGACTACTAGATATGGGAAAGAAAGGAGTGTTTTGTTTCCTCATGTAATACCTTTTCCCATGGATCTTAGAAGCTGGCTCAAAGAAAAGGGGAAATTGGTTTCAAAAGCTTTATTTTTCTATTTTCCATGTCTTACTTTTGAACACAGTCTTTTGCTGATTAAAAATCAAACAAGTTTTTTTTAGTTTTTCAAGATCTAGAGCCACCTTTTGAAAGTCTGGGCAAAGTCTGTGCACTGGAATAATAATTATTCTTTGGAAAGCTATGTATGCCTATCCACAATAAGAAACATGTGACAAGGTATTTAGTTATGGTTTTAATCCACGTGAACTGGGAATGGCTTTCAAGTTAAATAAATCTTCACTGTGTGACAAAAACAAGCTTCAGTGCACTATTGCTAATGCCAGCAGTGAAACCTGAGACCAGAAGTGCTAATGAGGGTGGAAAAAATTAGAAAATTTTAACGTTAACCTCTTATTTCTCTATCTTTCTGGTCTGCAGAGTTACAGTCTGATTATTGGAATTTCCTTCGGTACTGCTAACTTTATTTCCAGTTTTAAGAATGTTATATTGCTAATCTTAGAAAAAACAATCTCTTACTTGGTAAAAGTATACTAGTTACCCACAAATAAGTCTATTTTCTCTCTTTAGAAGATCACCAAACGACTAAAGTAAGAAATCTCCCATTTCCTGGACCAGTTAATACCAAGTTGTGTTGGATTGTTGATATCAGATGTTACTTCCATGATGGCAGAGTTGTGGAATATTTATTACCTCTTAAATAACTTTGGCATGAGTCAAACATAAATTAAAAATAAAAATCAAGTACACTTACTGATTCTGTTTTTTATCCTTTGGAGAAGTACACTAATGTCCCATTTACCCATCATGACTGGGGTTGGCCTCTTCGAATAAACAGATCCCCCCCCCCCAAAAAAAATTTTACCTCTTTAAATGCAGGATTTAAAAACTTGCAACCAGATTTCATGGCTATCTTTTCCAAAATACATGATTTATCTGTTGCCTTCTTAAAAAGAAGGCCCTGAATGCAACCGAGCCTTGTGTTCACAGTCTCATGTCGCTGATTTAAACAATGACTGCCTTATGATACCCTGTGCTCCACTGTGTTGCGGGAGAGTCACTGCTGCGGGCTGAAGGGCTGTGCTAAGGCTGAATGAGACCACGGCAGGTCATTCCAGCTCTTGCAAAGGCTTCTGGGAATTGTGTGTGTAAAGGTGTGTGTGTGGGGGGGTGTCCCTTCTAGTACCATCCTCATAGCCAGTTGCTTTTCGTCTTCTGTGGATGGAATAGCTAACCCTAAATTTGTGGCTCTGAGACAACCTGCCAAGCTCCTTGTGTGTAAGCTGGGGCTTTGTGACATCTGCTTAGGTCACTTATAGGCCGTGGTTGTGCCTGTTGCAGATACCCGAGCCGGCCTGGTTACTCACCTCTGAGTAAGCAGGCGGCTTCTCTGATGTTACGCTTATTTTGCAAACTGTGAAGTGATTTCCCAACTCTCCGTCTCACATCTTCCTTGTGTTACAGACCCCACGTCACTGATGATACTGTCCCCTATTCCAGTCACCCCTGTCACAGACCTGGGTTGTAGCATGAAGTTTGGGGGCACGTGATTTTAAAGTCAGGCACCTCTGGGTTTGACCCTGCTCCCCAACGTGATAACTGCATGATCGCAGGCATGGTAGTTCATGCCTCTCACCCATCCACTCAGCCAATATTTATTGAGCACCGGAGAGGTGCCAGGCAATGTTCTGGGCCCTTGGGATAGAGTTCTTGGAGATGACGGCTTAGCTGGGGAGTTAGGCAACAGACAAGCAAGTAAATCTATGGCATGGCAAGTGGTGGTGCAAGGCATGCAGAGGATGGTGAGTGCTGCAGGGGGGTGGGGATGTTTAGGAAACCTCTTTGGGAGCTTGCGAGGAAAGCCTGATAGGAATGCATTCAGGAGGGAACGGAAAGAGTGGGACTTGCGACACCACCTACGGTCCAGCTTTTAGAGACGGTTTGCCCCAGAGGAAGGCAGACACGGGTTCTGGTAGCTGGGAGGGTCAAGGGAGGGTTTTCTTTTAAGACCCAGCCTTTGTGTCTGCTGAGTGCATGGCCCAGAGAGGGAACCTGAAGGTGCAGGGCAGAGGGGGCGCAATGGTTGAGGGAAGCGTTGCTCTGCAGTTGGCAGGAGGGACGAGACCTTCCCCCAGGTGAAGAGCGAGGCCTCCCCGGGAGGGATGCGGGCGATAAGGGCTCACTTACCCACCTTCCTTTTCCTGTTGCTCCCGTTTTCTCAGTGAGAAAGAAAGCAGACTCATCAGCTGAGAGGGAAGATGGGGAGGAAATGTTGGAGGTTTGAGGACAGAAAATGGTACAGAGTAGTCATTTTAGAGAACAGACTGCAGAATGAATGAGCTACAGGAGGACGGTTGAATCGCCTGGAGGCCCTAGGGACCAGTGGAGAGGAGTGATCATCAGCATAAAGCTCCATCAGTTGCTTTCCTTTTATGCAACACGCTTCCCCTGTTTTTCTGCCGTTTTTATTTTCAAAGGTGTGACACTGCCATGGCTCGGAGAAGCACTGGGTGTTTCTGCCCCAGCCTGCCCCACACCCCCCTTCATAATGTCTTTCCCTTGTTGCTCCTCTCCTGGGAAGTAAGTTGGTGGTTTTCTCTTTTGAATTTCCAGAGCAGCTGGCACACACCTTTACTGCAGCACTCTCCAAGAAACTGCACCCATTTCTTTAGGTTTCTGCTTCCATTTCACCCCTACTGTGCATGAATTTCTATCCCCAGGCCCTAGTTCCAATACCTTCATATTACAGATTTTTAGGTGAATGTTTACTGCATGGAGGAAGGAAGGAAAAATAAAAATTCTGCCTCTTATTTCCATATTTACAGTCCTTCTAGATGTCCTATTTCTGGTATTCAAAGATTACAAAGCAGATAAATAACCCTTTACTTCATGCATCTAGAGATGCAGCAACAGTGATTCTACTTGGGATTTATTCTGGAGATTCCATTTATTTCCTGAATATTTGTTATTTTTCTTCTGGTATGTCTTCATGATGAGTATTTCTTGGCACCCTTTTAACAAGAC